TGCAGTAACAGTAGACATGTATTCTTTGCTGGTTAATATCAATTCATGATACACCACATAGTCAGGTAGGAAACCAAGACCGTATAAGGAGCTGGTGGGATGTAGCTGCACAGTTACACTCGTCCGCAAATTAATATACTCCCCAATACCCTTGACCCGGCCAGCTTGATGGTAGTAGCCGGAACAAATGCATTTTCGAATGATATCCCAATCCGTACCACAGCTTGTCAATTGCATTTTCTGCATTTTCATTATATCATGTAGCTGTTCACGGATCTCCTTGGCTCGTCGAAGAGCCTTGGGATGGAGGAAGTGGCGCACACACCACCCATCTGAATAGCCGTTTGCTTTCCATTGTGTGTAGACGTGAAGAAGAGTAAGATGGTCTGACTCTGGCACGAAGAATTTTTCTCTAGCTGCATCGGACTCTTCTTGTCGTTCCTTTGGACGGTAAAACACACTGGGTACGGAGAGCATGGATACGATCGTGAGCATTTCTTCGCTGCAATCATACAGCTCTGATGAAGTAATTAGGAGTTTCGCAAGTGACGGGTCCATTGGGAATGCGCTCATTCGGCGGCCGATGGCAGTTAAATCTCCCAAATTATCGATTGCCCCGAGAGCCCAAAGGTCAAATAGCGAGGTTGTGATTGTATCTTGAGGGGGAGGGTCCATAAAATCGAAATCCAGCAGGTCCTTGATTCCTAGTGATTTGAGCAGGAGTACCGTGTTGGCAAGGTTTGTCCGTTGAATTTCCGGGATTGTTTGTATATAAAACTCATTCTTGAATGCAAGCTCAGTATACAAATGATATGCTTTCCCAGGCCCCGTTCGGCCAGCTCGGCCAGCTCGCTGGGAAGCATTGGCCTGCGAAATCGGGGTGATTTGGAGTGTGTCCATGCCCATTCGTGGATTGTACACTTTTAACTTCGAAAACCCGGCATCTACCACATACATAATGCCATCGACCGTCAAACTGGTCTCGGCAATATTGGTAGCAACGATGACTTTCCTGACTCCTGGAGGAGCCTTGTCGAAAATTTTGGCTTGTAAATCTGCTGGCATCTGGCTGTATATGGGCAGAACACTGATCTTCGGCGGATCATTTAGAAGAGCTAACCTCTCGTGTATCAATTCGCAAGTAGCCTCGATATCTTCCTGCCCCGTCATGAAAACTAGGATATCACCCGGTCCCTGGGAAACGTGGATGGCCAACACTTGCTTGACAGCGCTATCAACGTAGTCTTCGCACGGAGAACGAGAGTATTGTATATCAACAGGAAAAGTACGTCCAGGAATTATAAACTCTGGAGCTCCTCCATAGAATTTCGAAAATCGGTCAGAGTTCATGGTAGCAGATGTCACGATAAGCTTAAGGTCCCTTCTTCTTGCAAGAACTTTCTTGATCAAGCCCATCAAAACATCTGTATTTAAAGCTCTTTCATGAGCCTCGTCCATAATAATACAAGAATATTTGTCAAGATCGGGTTGGACCAAGGACTCTCGTAAGAGAACTCCATCCGTCATATCTAGAAGAAATGTTAGCCACTTGCTCCGTTATACCACTGGAAGGGCCAACTTACATTTGATCACCGTTTCGCTGCTCGTACAGTCTTCAAAACGTATAGCATAGCCCACAAGCCCTCCTAGTTTGACTTCCATCTCTTCGCTGACTCGTTTGGCGACACTCATTGCAGCAACACGGCGTGGCTGCGTACAGCCTATCAAGCCAAGCTCCCCGTAACCATCCTCATAAAGAAATTGAGTCAACTGCGTAGTCTTTCCAGAGCCGGTCTGGCCAACAACAATAACGACTTGGTTATCCCTTATCACTCGTAGGAGTTCCTCTCTAACGGCAAATGCAGGGAGATATTCCCTCTGTTCCCGTAAGGTCTTGCTCCTGCTAAAGGCACTGGATCCCTCCGACTTTTTCAAATGAGACGCAAATTTGCTGTTGTTGCCCGCCTTTTGATCTTCTTCCCCTGGAATTGCGGCTGCGCTATCACCCTCATCCTCTTTAACTCCCATGATATTTCCCAAAGTCGTCCCGGCAGCATTTGTTGCGTCTTGAGCTTGCTTCTGGCGTTCCTTGCGCTGCCTCCTTTCCTGTACAACTTTACTTCCTTTACGGCTAAAAACAGCCATGTCACTCTGCGGGTCTCGTACGGCGGGAACAGGTTCAAGCTGCTTCGTGAAGACTGTACGGCCATCTAAAAAGGGAGGACGGAGATCATGGACAAGCAAGTGTACTCTCGTTGAGTCGTCGTCGTCTTCAAAATCAGCGTCATAGTCCCTCCTCTGGGCAACGCCCGAGGTTAGCATGCGATTTGTCTCCCACGCATCCACGTCCTTTTGTTTTTGTACAGCACGGGCATTGAAGCGGCGACTATTCTTCTTCTCTGACAATGCGGCCTCGCGAATCTGATCCGCCCAAGCACTTTCTGGGGCGCCAAAAGGGTTATGCGTCTCATCTCCAAAGGTGTGTCCGGATTCATCACCCATGTACCAGTCTCGGTCCAGGGCCATAGCATCATCATCGTTCACGAATGCTTCGGGGCCATCAAATGCGTGCTGGTGGGGAGTTGATGAGCCATTTCGTCCCCTGCTGGGCCTTTCCTGGCCGTCATCGTCGTCGTTCACTGGGGGTCTATCGCGCCGCTCGAAAATATGTCTAGGGCCAGGGCCGGTGTAGCTCTTTGGTGACGAGGGTGCGAACCTATCGGAGTCTATCTTTCGCCGCTTCGGGCTCTCTTCACGGCTCATGATGTTCTCAGCTTGTGAGCATGCCAAAATTTATACAAGCGTTGCACAGCTGATTATCTGTGACTTGGAGTAGTCCTTGGAAAGCGGTAAATTGAATCTATTTAGCGCCGGGCAAGACTAGCTAGGCGCTTATGGTTTGTCATTAGACGCGTTTGCCGCCTGCCGCGATGGTCACGAAACAGCTCAAAACTTCAGCTTCGAGGCAGAAACTCATCCACCTAGTATTCTGTCCCTTTTTCAAGTGCAGCTCTCCATAGTTATACTGTGTATTTGGGGATACAACCTTAATTCTTTTATATAAGTTAAATTACCGTCCCCTTTTGGAGAAATTTTACTTGTGGAGATACCATCAGCAGCCCGAACGGTAGTAATCCTTGTGTTCCTTACAGGAGATTATAGTAATACCCAAAACTGAGGTTCTTAGACCACCATCTATACCCAACATCTTGAAGACGGCTAATAACCCCGTCTGAAACATCATCGGTATCTTGGGATATAGATAATGACACAGAACAAACGATTGTAATAAAGATAACTCTGCGAAAAGATGGAGATGAAAGAAAAGGCAAAAGTAAATATTCTACTATACCCCAGTCATTTCTGATACTCTCCTATCATTATGGATGGATGGAAAGTCAATGTCGCATAGCTTCATTCATACCATTAGCTGCTGATGTGTATGAATAAATGATCTGATCTTTAATATACGAATAGCTTCTCCCATACCTGAGACTGCTAGAGTGACCGGTCCAATTACTGTCTCTGGTGTCATTCGCATTTTATCCTTCCACATCTATGAAAATTTCTAGTCTGGCTGCTGCGTGGTCACTTTAGTGATCTGTTTGTTTTGACCCGAAAAGTATAGTCTATGGAGAGCTTTGTAAATCCCCGAGCTCTAGTACAGCAAAGACAGAATGCTGTGCAATGAGAATAGTACAGCTCTCCCGGAGGAATCATACCCCGTGGCTTCTGGCAGCATCCGCATCCCCTTGCGCAGCATCTTTGTGCGGCTTTACATTGATGTTTTCCCTGTCCATATCCATCTAGAAAAAACCAAGATTCGACCAACCGTCTCACCCTCGACGTGGGCGCCTGGCGCCTAATTAAGCATGAATAGTACTGCTCCCAATTCCCGAGCCTCTGTTTTGAATCGGCTAGCTTTAATTTCCAGTCCTCAGGGCCGATCACATCAATTGTTTCAATCTCTTTGGCTTTCCCCATCACGACAGTATCCAGGATCATTTTTCTCAGAAGGATGTCTCTCTGCCTGAAGACATGTATGTCATGGGCTACATCGACCAGACTGGGACTACAGTCCTCCTTCGCCTTGTTCTGCACCTGGGGTTGGGGGGCTCTGTGGTGAACCCTTTTCATGTTGGCCTCCCTGATAATATCCACAGCCCGCTGTGCACCCATATACTCAAGCACTATTTCGAGGATCGGCTCAAGCAGCCAAATTGATAGCCGGCAGATAATCAAACACGCTGTGACAAATATGGGCCCGAGGACGAAGTAGGCCATCACCTCTTCAGATGTCCATTTCGACACCATCTTGAAAGAAGACAGCGGTAATGTCCAGAGCAGGCAGTGAGTGGGTGACGACGTAAGCTATAGCTAGGAGAATTAGTCAAGAGAGGCGAGCAGAAAGTGCGACTTTGCCCTTTTTATATACGTAGAATCGCTCCTGTATGTTTGCAATATATGATGCAACAGCGGCGTGGCGCTGGCGCGGCGATGCGATGCTGCTGGTTATGGAAAGCTGAGCGGGACCACCAGCATCACACCGAGGCACTGTGGTAGAGTGGTTAATACGTTGCACTGCTACCGTTATACAGTTTCTCTGCATACATAGCCATGCAATTCCTTCGGGAGCCAGGGTTCGAATCCCTGCGGTGTCGCTTTTTTTTTTTAATTTTTTTTTTTTTCCCCCCTTCTTTCCTTTCCCTTTCTTTTGAACCCGTCAATCATATCACCTACCCACTACATAAAATGCTAGTATGATAGATACCGGCATGCAGTAGTTGTGTTAAATGTCCGGTGTGCATCTGTACTGTGTAAACGGCCTGTCGTGGTGACGTCCTAGGTGCCAAGAGGCGAGGGTCCTCCCAAGCTCAAGACAGCTTGGTTGGAACCAACCGCACGACGGCCCGACATACTGCGAGACAGCAACTATCTAAGCTACGACAACGTATGCAGTGAAGCTACAGGCACCGTCTGTGACGGAACAAGGAACAAAGATGACGAAAGACGGCAAGCACACACCAACCACCGACGAGCTGCTGGCTCAGTTCGACGACCTGAGCGTCGATGCCGTCAACGCCAAACCACCACAGCCAGGCAAGCAAGGAGCCGTCGAGGACGACGTGCTTGATGAATTCCAGAATCTAGTCTCCCAGAGGCCCGCAAGTCGCCCTGCAACGCCCCAGATCTCATCGCCCTCGACCAAGTCACCGAAGCCGGCGGCGGCTACCGCTACACCCACTACCGACCGGTCCAGCGAGGAGAAGTTACAGACCAGGAAGTCAGGAGATAGCACAAGAGCATACCATCGGAGCATCACGCCCTTATCAGAGACACAGAATACACCGCCGAGCCCACCACAGCCGCAGACCAGTAGCAGTAGCGGCGGCGGCGGCGGAGGTGGATGGTGGGGTGGTCTCTTTGCTACGGCTACCGCGGCCGTCAAGCAAGCTGAGGCAGCAGTGCAGGAGATCCGGAAAAACGAAGACGCCCAGAAATGGGCAGACCAGGTCCGTGGTAATGTCGGTGCTCTTAGGGGACTCGGTGAGCTACTATATTTGTATCCCAAGAATGGCCTGGATGATTTACCTACTAATCAGATATAATATAGGGGGAGAGCTACGCACACTCGCACTTCCAACGGTTACATCCCTTCTCCACACTCTGGCTCCTCCAATATCAACTCATGAACGTCTCCAAATCCATATCACGCATGATCTCCAAGGATATCCTGCCCTAGATCCTCTCATATACAATGTGTTTTCCCGAGTCATGGCCCAGGTCGAGGGAGGTGACTTACTCGTCATCCAACGTGGCCAGGAAGCTGCACCAAAGCGTGGAGAGGGCGCGGGTACCAGTCAATATAGCTCAGCAGGTTGGAATGATGGGCCATGGTGGCGTTATGCCTCTCCAGGAGGTGGTCGCTCGATCTCTGCCATCAAGGGTACCATGGTAGCCAGCAAGCTTGCGCGAGCGAGTGCTGAGTCTTACGCAAATGACTTTTTCGCAGCTCGCGGCGGTATAGAAGAAGCTACCCGTCAAGCTTCCGAAATTCTATCCGACACCAATCCCGTCAGGAATAGTGATATCTTCCTGGCAATCCAAGCTATCAGCCAGCCCGTATCAGAAGACCTTTTCCAGGCCGGCGCTGGACCCAGCGGAGAAACTGACAAGCCAACCAGCGGCGTCGTGGAGGCTGAACAAGAAACTGAGGAAGAAGTGTCCTTCGCCGTGTACCTGCATGATCCCATCCATGGCATTGCTTTCCATACAATATCCCAGTCTATTCCACAGAAATGGATCGACTGGCTTGATGCTCCTGCCCCTGACCCCTCTTCCGCAGACCAAAGCTCTGCCTCTCAAGAAATGCAATCAACCGTTCCAGAAGCCATTGCTGAAATAATTGAGAGCGGAGGAGTCGATCCACGTGAATGGGTGGCCGAATGGGTTGAAGACGCAATTACTTTGGCCGTGGGTGTTGTTGCACAGCGCTACGTGGCTAGGAGAATGGGCGTTGGTGTCGGCGGTATCAACAAGGGAAAGATGAAAGCTGAGCAGGCTACTGTTGTTGACAGCGGAGCTGGGGAGGCTGCAAGGGCTATTTAGAAGAGAGCCCCTTTCACTCCCTCCTAACCCCCCATTATCTAGTTGGCG